CAAACATTAACAAATCTGCTTCAACATCATCTCGAGTTTTAAGTATTGCATTATTGCATCTCTTACATGGACAAGAAATCTGATTGGATGTCGTATGCATAAATGCAAAATATAGAAAGCTTCTTACTCCGTTTCTATATTCTTGCGATGCTCGATTTCCAATTTCCATCCAACTTTTATCCATGTTGTACAACAAGCTTGTGATAAGAATAATGTGATACGCTTCTCTGTTAAAGTAAAAGACTACCTAGAAAACAAAAAGATATCTTAAACTAAAAATTAAATGGTAAACACTAACTTGAGCAAGAGAATACATGTACTACAAAAAGCAAATACCAATCACCATATAACAATTGCATGGACAATAGCAGTTCCCGTTGTACTGAAAATAAATATTCCATTATTGTAGCAGAAATTGCTTACCGCAAGTGTACGAGTTAAGCTTTAATAAAGTGGTAAGTTAATACCGATATCGTCCTCTAGATTGGGTTTCTAGATCATAAAATTGCTCAATTTTATTTAGAGAATCAAAATCAAAAGGGAGAATATAATCAAAGAAAATAAAAATGCAATAATAAACATAAAAACAATGGGGAAAGGTCCTAGGGAATTGATTTCACCTATTGAATCTATGAATCAACTACTTAATTACTCAAGATTGGACGAATTATTAATTATATAGGCCAAGAACTCTCAAATCTCAACTGCCTCTCCCGAGCGTAAGCTAATTCTCCTTACGAATTAAGAAACCAATATCCCTATCTAGTTTCTATAACAAGTAAAGGCTTTATTGAACAAGTCTTTTATCGACCTCTAAAGGACTTCTAAATCCCCCGATCTTAAAACCCCTTTAGTTATGCATCACAGTTCTAACTCTAAACCACCTCTCCCGAGCGTAAGATTTCAAGTCTAAAATCAATCAATCTATGGCCAGTAGATTCAAGGCATTAAGCACAGAGAAGTATAAATAAAACATTCATAAACATTCAACCAAGAAAACTAAACAATCAATGCATAAAGTTCAATGGCTACATCAATCCCCAAGATGAGAGGTTTAGCTTGTCATATTCAATGGAAAACAATAAAATCACAATGAGAAGTCCATAACAAAACCAGAAAAATCAAGGGAAAGGAGAAGAAACTATGTTCGGCGTGTCAATCGTCCGTCCCAAAGCGACCTCCACGATCCCGAGCCTTGAAAATCACTTTTCTAAGCTCTCCAATGGTCTCTTTGCCCTCCAATTTGGCCAAAAAGGGAAACTGCCATAAAACCTCTTCAAAACTCCCCCCCTTTCGGCGGCTGCACAACCCTATTTTTATAAAAAGTTGTCGCGGCAGCGCTGTGGCGCTATATACAGGGTCATGGCACTACACTATTCACAAACGCGAAATTTAAACTTCGGAGCGCCGCGACGCTCTAGGCTAGCGCCGTGGCGCTATCTCCTCGGGTTTTTAGCTCCAAATCTTGTTGTTATTCCATCTTGGTCACTTTGATTCCTATTTTTCTCTCATTTGGATCCAAATATGTCTCGTTTCCTCCCGATGCTTTATTCCTGCAAAATATATCTTATGTGCTTAAATTTGTCTTGAAGAAACGAAAACTAACAAATAATTTCAATATAAATCTCATGAAATGTAGCTCACAAAGTGTGTTATCACTTATGAATTGCTACCATATGATCTTCCCCCAAGCACCCTCGACTTGCTAGATTTTGAATTATAAAACAAACAATAGTCACTCATACACATCAATCTAACATATGCCTAAATAACGCAAATGTGATTATTTACAAGCGAGCAGCAAGAACTGGATCACTATACTCATTTAACAATCCACCTTCAAGGGAAAAAACTAGATAGACATTTTTTAATAACTAATATCAATGTTGTCACAATTTTCTATCAATAAAACAAACCAAGGTATCTTCTCCTGAGTGCCTCTCAATCACTTAAGCACTGGAAGGTTCTCCTAGAGTAGAAGCATATACCCTGAAGGAAAACATCAAGGCAGTAAAATTAGTAAAGAAAAATAATTAGTAACTAATTATAAAAACATCAAGCATTAAAATTAGTATAACACATCATACAAACTAAAAAAAAATAAAACAAATTAAAAAATAATAATAGCTAAGCAATTATTAAACATTAAGACAGGAAAATTACCAATTAAATAATAATAATGATAGTTAAGTAATTATAAAAACATCAAGGTAGTAAAATTACAAAATAAAGAATAATAATAGGCAACTAATTATAAAAACATCAAATAATAATAGCTAAGTAATTATAAAAACATTAAGGCAGTAAAACACTAACAATAAATGGTACAACATATTTATCCTAGAAAGTTTATACACATGAAAATCTGGAGGTAGCGGAGTTGAGGAAGTAGCCAGTCTTATCAAATGCTAGAGAAAGATTTAATATCATTGAAATGTTGCATTTCTAGTCCAAAACAAGTCTGCCTCTGAAGTCCATAACTCACACATCAATCACAATAAAATGTCAAAATGAGGATTAGTTACCGACTAGTCCAACAACTCCCATATTGTTCTGATTCATAGTCACACTCACACCACTAAATAAAACAAGTCATAGTAGCCATATAACTAATAATGATCAGGAAGGAAGAATTAGAATCCTGGATTTATTCACCTAATGAGAAACTAGAGAAAGGATGCTATATCCGCTGACAAATAAAAGCAAACATTTAAAAGCCCTAGTGGGGATCAAAATATGATCAGAACAATGCAATGTCTGGTGTGTGCAAATTACCATAAGAAGGACAACTACAATGTTGTATCCTCCACTAACAAAACCAATTCACACGATCCCATATTTCGTCCCCATTTCTAAAAGTTTCATCTAATCATCACCAGTTCAATATATTTTTTCCTTAGTTATTGTGCAATTAATTGCAATAATCGCACATAATATCAAAGAGAGTGCGAAAAAAATGAAATCTCACCTCAAAGAGGCAGCACAATTTTACTGACGAACACCATTTTCCTTCATTGAGAAACAAATATTTCCTAAATCCATAAATTGCATCTCAATAAAATTGTATCAATTATATACTAGAAACATAGTACAACACACTTATATTTACTAAATCATATATTTTAGGAATAACCAAAGGTAAATGGGAAATAAGAATAGACAAGAAAGGGGGAGGCCCCGGACCTTACGAAGTTGGGAATTGCTTCCGGAACCAGACTCCATTCTTTGACGATGAGCAGCAATCAACTTAATGGGAAGAGAGCGATCAAAGAAAATAATGTAATTCATTGTTCTCGGCGCCAGACTGAAAGAACGGGGAAGAAACCTAGCCGCAACTAAGGTAACGTTCCTTTTTAGAAAGGTAAAGTTCTTTTTTTCTTGTTTAGAAAGTAAAGTAAATTTTATTACTTTTAATAATATTATATATTTTTTCAAAGGTTTTAATAACCTTCGATAAAAGGTTTGTCTTTTTAAGAGATTTACAATAACCTTCGATTAAAAATAAAATAATATTTATAAAAGGTTTTTAACCATAGCCACCTCGGCGAAGAGAAAATTATTATTTTTCTAAATAGAATCGTTTTCAAAGGTTTCTAGCAACTTCGGAGAGAAAAGTTAATAATTTCGTAGCTTTTTCGAAGGTTTTCTTAGAACCTTCGATAAAAGATCATGTATTTTTCAAAGGCTTCAAATATTTGTTGATAAATGTATTGTTTTTCAAAGGTTTTCAACAACTTTTGATAAAATACTTGTTTATGCAAAGATGTGCACAACAGTGTGTTCCTGATTGTAGCTCGAACTCGGCCTCCGTACCGACCTGTATATTTGGGCGGACCTGCACAAAAAGGTGAGCACTCCGACGATCAAGTCAGTATAAGTCGGATTCCAAGTTTAGTTCGAAGCCAGAAATCATCGTACCTGATCGGGGAGTGAGGTCCTCTACTTATGGGTGGTGGTCCCGCTAATCTCGCGACGGTTACATTCGGTAATCTCGGGNGTGAGCACTCCGACGATCAAGTCAGTATAGGTCGGATTCCAAGTTTAGTTCGAAGCCAGAAATCATCGTACCTGATCGGGGAGTGAGGTCCTCTACTTATAGGTGGTGGTCCCGCTAATCTCGCGACGGTTACATTCGGTAATCTCGGGACCGTCGGTTGCACCCGGTGATCTCGGGACCGACGGTTACGCCCGATAATCACGCCGCAGACAGTTGCTCACGTCGGCCCCTACCGAGCTCCCCGGCAGGTCGGACCTGGGCCAGGTTCACCTCGGCCCTCATACTTAGCTTTCGCCGGTGTTGGTGGCAGCCATCTCGGCTATCCGAGCTGGGCATGAATCATGGGCCATCTTGGAGTACCAATAGGGGTCCTCCACGTGTCCAGGGTATTTTTACCCCCAAACAATACTGAATAATTTTCAAAGGTCTTCAGAATACCTTTGATAAAAGATTATCCTTTTCAAAGCTTTTTAATAACCTTTGATAAAAAATGTATAATTTTCGAAGGTTTTCTAAAAACTTTCAATAAAATATCATATATTTTTCAAAGGTTTAATATTTGTTGATAAATATGTATTATTTTTCAAAGGTTTTCAATTACCTTGATAAAATAGTAAATAATTTTCGAAGGTTTTTCAAAATACCTTCAATAAAAGTTAACCTTTTTCGAAGGTTTTTAATAACCTTTGAAAAAAATGCATAATTTTCGAAAGTTTTCTATAAACCTCCGATAAAGTATCACGTATTTTTTAAAGGCTGCACATATTTGTTGATAAATATACTGTTTTTCAAATGTTTTCAATAACCTTCGATAAAAGGTGGTCGAAACAGCCTCATTTTCTTGTAGTGTGATGATCAAACAATTACAAGAATTAAGTTCAGAATATTAACTCAACAATGGAACTAACTTCATTAATCATAAATACAAAGCCAAGAGTTAATAGTTTCGGCTACCTCGAGCCTCCTAGAAATGAAATCTAACACAAAACTAACTTAGAAGGTAAGTAGCACAAATAAAATGAAAAGAAAGAAGAAAAGAGGAGGATTCTTCCTCCAAGAATATGTCTTCAGCTGCAGCTAGCCTCCACAAATCTCCATCTTCTCCACCCAAGAAGTGACCTAAAATATGAATTTATAGGTCTGATAGTCCTCATAGGGCCTAGGTGTCAAATACCGAGTTTTCGAAATCACTGCTTCAAGTTTGGAACACCTAGGTGCCGATTTTTGGGAGCCTAACCACCATAATATATATATATATAGGATAAAATACATTTTTAGTCCCTGAGTTTAGAAATGAGTTTCTATTTGATCCCTAAATTTCAAAAAGTAAACCGTTTGGTTTGTGATCTTTAGAAAATAGTTTTAAAAGATCCCTAAGACTAAACTTCCATTAATACCCTAACGGAATGCTGACTTGGCGTGATGAGTTGGATATTTATTTTATTTTATAATCACGCCACGTCAGCATTCCATTAGTGTACTAATGGAAGTTTAGTCTCATAAATCTTTATCGGTAGCTCGTTTGAGTATTTGATTTTTTTTAAAACCAATCGTTAGATCGTATTTTTACTGGCATCAGCGCCTCGATGTGAGTTTGGAAACCTTCCTAGTTTTGGTATTAACAGTGAAAAAATTAAGGGTTTTCTACTATGAAAAATTTAAATATGAAGATTTTTTAAAAAAATTTAATGTTGATTTTAGGACTTCACTGCAAGTCTGGAAAAGGTGTAGAAATGTGTTGTTTTTGTCAAAATTGAATTTTGAAAATAATTTGTATAGAAATTTAATTAATAGAAATATATGGGAAGAGAAAATGAAGTATGGAAGATGAAAAAGAGGAGAAGAGAGGATAGAGAAGAAGAAAAGGAAGAAAACGAAAGAGGGGAGAGAGTGGAGGCATTGGAAAAGAAAAAGATTTGGAAAGGGGAAATACATTAATTTCACAAAAACTTGACATCAGTCAAATATTACAAAACTTTAAGTTTTTAAAAGAGAGGCACATATCAAAGTGGCCCGAAGAAAAAGGTCATTCAACCTATCATTTTCTTCGTAGGAAGAGAGAAGATGGAAAAGGATGAAATGGAACAGGGAGGGAGAGAACGAGGGATGAGTAGGGAAGAGAGAAAAAAGAAAGAAAAATGAAAAAAAAAATATCGAATAATATAATTATAATATAATATAATTCATAGTTGTCACATGAATATGATCGAACTCACAATCTCTTAATTGGAGATATAGCAAATTAGAACTATGCTTACTTTGACATTAAGAATTATTGAAAGCTAAACTATGCTACATTATTATTATTTTATAGTACTACACTATTATTGTGTGATATTAGCCTCTTTAGAATTATTGCAAAATAAATAGTAAAAATTATCTTTATATAAACATTGTTTTATATGACTTTCTTTGAAAACAAAATATAATTGAATTATATATACCATATAAATGTAAAGAACGTTTCAAAAAAATTAATATAAATAGATAATAGAACTCAAAATATGTAGTATGATTTTTTAATAATAAAAATTATTTCGATATAAATAGTTTAAAAAGAAACTAAAATAGAAACATATATAAATAAAAACAGCATATGAAAGGCGACATAGCGAATACAAATCACATTGCTATAAATAGTTTAGAAGAGGTTTTGATGCGAAAAAATTATTTTTATAATTACCAAAATTACTTCCCTCTTTATGATCGCGTTTATGTGTTTTTCTAGACTTTACAATAGCTCTCCCTATTTCGAATGAAAAAATGAGTCTTCCCTCCTCCAAAAAAATAAATCCGAAAGGCATTTTCAAATTTCGAAGATTTTTTGGTTTGGAGAGGAGATTTCGAGTCTTGTGTTGACAAAGATCAGTAGGGTTGATTTCTTCAAATATTGATGGACCACATGATTCATGCGAGTCCTCCCTCATTAAACATTAAAATAAAATTCTCTCACTTTATCTCATCCTTCTTGTCCACTCAAAGCCTGCAATCGCATTCTTGTCTCATTATCTCGTCCTCTTCTCTCCATTAGTTTCTTTCGGTGGGTTGCACAAGTATTTCATTTTCTTTTTTCTTTAATTTTTCTTTATTTGTTGCTTTTTATCCTTATTTAGTCTAATATAATTTAGATTAAAAAAAACATTTGGTCACTTGAACTGGTTATCGAATTTTCAAAAGTAACAATTTAGTCTCTAAATGATTACAATTTAGTCGCTGCAATTAAAACCTATATTAGATCCAATAGAAATCTAATGTAGATTATCTATGGGTACAAATTAAATGTCCAACAGTGTGCGGCTTGGCCAAATTTCGAGTTGGTTCAAAGTTGGATTGGTTTTGAATTAAAAATAATAATTATTAAGAAAAATTACCTCCTCACATTCTTTCGCCCCCATGAGCTGTGAGTAGCTCGAGCCAACGTCTAACAGCAAATCGGTGTACAAAATTTGAACGTCGTCTTCCTCCGCGAAACTTTCCACTAGCTTGTATAGAAGGTTTGTGGTGGTGCTAATCGCTTCACCGCACAACACGTCGAGGAAGGCGAAGATGAATTTCGAGTTGTTCTAGAGTAGAATCATGATGACGTCTCCTTATTTGACACTGGTCTTGCCAAGTCCCGCGACAACCCGTTGCGCCATGAGATGCACGGTGGTAGGGATGTTTATTTTCTCCATGAGGTCCCGTCCCCGTGGGGACCTGCCTAAATGGGGTGGGGAATCCCCGTTTAAATTCCCCATGGGACGGGGATGGTGGCAAAAATTTTCCCACCACCTAAATAGGGATGGGGACGGGGAATACGTTCCACATCCCCATTCCCCGTTCCTTCGTCATTTTTTTAATATTTATATATGTACATATACACACTAAAGTAATTATATTGTCCTCTTTAAATATATGTGTATACAAAAAAATTATGTATTGTTCTCCATCCACCCACCTAATATATGTATTTCAGAGAATTAGACCTTATAAATTAAGCAACTAAATAAAACAATTTTAAGAAAAAAAATATATTAACAAATAATTTAAAACATAAAAAAAAAATGGGAAAAATTCCTTGGATCCTCACGAATTCCCGCGAGGAATCCCCACGCCGATCCCCGTGAAATTTTGTGAGGAATTTCGCTAAGACGGGGAATTAAATGGGAGGCGGGGATGGGGACGTTTCCGTCCCCGCCCCGCCCCATGAACATCCTTAATGACGTCACAAAATCTGGTGGAGGAGGTGACACTAATGCTTACAACCAAGCAGAGGTGGGGCAATCAAGTGATCCAAGCTAGAAGAACAAAGTTATGGTCAATGAAGTTCTTATTACTCTTGGTATGGTCAAACTGAATACTCACCATATGTCAATGACTGTCACTCTCAACCTCAACCTCGTGATTATATCATTCATCCAAATTATCAACCAATGGGATCCATATGTGTTTCGTATGAGAGTCATATTCTACTCATTTGAGCAACTACCTTTTAACATTTTTAGTCTAAGATGACCTAAGAGAACTATTCTACCATTCAAGTTTTATTTACTAATTAAAAAGAAATTCCATCAATTTCCACAATTTCCATGATTTTTTTCGAAATATCCGTCGACATCGACATGTCCGTAAAATCGGGACCTCGATATTTCCATCGACATCGAGGTTTCGAACACTAATGCAGACTCAATTACATTATTATTATTATTATTTGTTTTATATTTCAAGTGTCTAACTTGGACATACCTTGGTTAATTTAATTTTTTAAGTTTATTCTATTTTGATATCTAATATTTCAAAATGTTTATTTTAAAATGAAATTTTTAGTTCTTCACCTCACGTTAGAAATGCAAAAATTGACTGAGAAATAATGTGCACTGGATGAAAAATTTTTAGATAGCAGAATAACAGTGAAAAAAATGATGTTTTTAAAAATTCAAATATTGAAATAGACATTTTAAAGGTTAGAGGATGAAAGTAACTATTAAAACGATTATGTTAATGGATTCCCAGAAAGATCAAGCACCTCTAGCTAAAAATATCAAAAAACTCTCTTATCTTTTATCTTTCAACAAATTTAAGAGTGTACATTTATCGTTATTCTTTGTAAAATTGTTGTTTGTGCTAATCTTGAATATTTATTATTATTATTGCCGACGAATAATACTTTCATCATTTGTTTCTTTGTTTTATTTACTTTTTCAAAAACTACCTCATAAACATCTAATTCCAATTTTAGAAACTAAAAAGAAAAAAAAAGGAGTAGGTTTTAACGTTGTTTAAAAAATATGAAAGACATATACAGAAAAATATTATAGAAAAACAAGCATAATTCTAATTAAATCAAAAACTAAAACCATAACAATCATCAAACACGAGTTACTACGATGTTCTCTTCGACCTTATTAAAACCATAACAATTATCAAAGTAAGATGATCTTAGAACAACGTTCTTCGACCTTAATTATTCCCTCACACGCCCTCACTCCTCACTCTCCAAAGACCATAACAATAATCAATTAAGAGCTTAGTAAACTATGACTTTATTCAACCTCTACATAGGTCCTCACAACTTTGTAAAGAGCCTAACAATTTATCAAACAGGACCTTAGTAAACCGATCTTTGATCTTCAATTCGAAGAGCTAGCTTTTGAGACAACCAAAGGAGAGAAGCTCCTGATTCTTCTCAAACACTGCCATTACCTCTTTGTCCAAGCACACCACAGCCTCCATTCCCTCCCCATCTTTGGCATCCATCAACCCAATTGAATTCCTCCTTATGATATCAGGCATTGTGATCCACGCTGGCTTCCCCCACCCAAAATCCACCTCGTAAAGTCCAACGTTGCACCAACTGCTACACAAATAAAAATTTTGAGCCATTCTCCCAAATGATTCCTCCATATATAGTTTGTGGAGCGAACACCACTCAACAGCCTCGTAATTTTTGGGGTACTTGTCGCAGAATTCTTCGAAGTTCCTCTTCATGTCTCTCACCACCTCCCATAGCTCTACCTCTTCCTGTAATGGCACCACGAAGAAGGTGATTATGTTCCCTTTTAAAGCCTCCGGCAGCGGCGGCACCACCCTCTTCCGTATGTTAACCATCTGCAGGAGGCTTGATGGCGGCAGTGGCTGCTTTCCCAAACCACCGGTGGAAATAACGGCAGCCTTGTAGATGAGTGCACTGAGGAGCTGGGTGCGCGTTGGATTCTCAACTTTTTCCGACACCATGGCTTTAAGAGCTGCGATCTTTGGACTCTCAAACGCGAACCTCTTCACCACAATGTGGTCACGTCGTTGCTCTCGTACTGTTATTTTGTTTTTAGAAATGAATAAATGATTAAATATAGTCATTTTATGCTTTAACATGGAACAATGGAACATACCAAAGAAAAAAAATTACTTAAATTTAACTTTGAATTTCTTCCTTAAAGTTAAGCTTGATTAATAGACCATCGAATAGATCTCCGAAAATTTCCAAGTTTGAGTAAAATTTAGGTCGAATGCTTTTTTTTTTTTTTTCAAGTCTCATTGTACTAGACTTTTTAAAATTTATAAAAACATAGCTAAGACTTTGTCCTTGTATCCCCACAAAATCTTTATTTATTTTTTAAAATAACTTACAAAATCTAACCTACCACCAAAATCTTAGCTTAGCCCACCAAAAATTACCCACCCCATATTTTATTTTAAAAAAAAAATCTAACTTACTAAAAATTATCTATTTTTCTAAATAGGTCTATGTGGACCCCACACTATCTATCTTTCCAAAAACATTGAAATTTTATAAAATCTTTTCAAAAAAAAATGAAAATTGTAACCTCTTTAGGTATGAGCTACGAAAACAAGTACACCTTATTGGTAGATGTAGTAACTACTCTTTTAAGTCTTTCTTAGCAATGGTCATTTTGAGTGTGGTAATTATTCATCCAATATCACTCTCATTTTGAAAAAAGAAATTTACCAATCAATTGATACCTTAAAAATTGAGGTGATTGTAAACATTTTTAAAATTAATTTTTTAATTTAACAAACATGACAATGAGAAGAAAAGTAATTTGAACGATGGCAAGAATGATTAAGACCTAATGGACAGGACTCGCGTCCAGGCGGGAAAAAACTTGATGCGTTGAACTGAGGAGACACCGGGAGCAGCTCATGGTGCCCGCGATGGTTGCGGGCAATGGAAGCCCAGTCATTCATGAAGGTTGCAAAAGTGACCAAATCGGATATTTTGTGAGATAAAAATACACAGATGGCCTCTCCTCCACATTGAAATCTTGTCAACTGAACAGACAAAATGGGGTTGATTTCTGTCCCATCTCCCGGGCAAAGAAGTTTCCAAATCTCATCATTTTTTGTGACATCCGACATCGGACACCGGAGATTTGCCTCCGTGAAGGTGGCACCGGCGTCGTTGCATTCGACGGAGGCGCCGTCGATGAGGCGTCCAGCAAAAGGGTAGTAGTGTGTCAACACCTCGGAGAGGCTCTCCTTCAGCTCCTCCGAGTGGCTGCGCCGCCGTCCACCGGCGGAGCTTTCGTTATTGTGGTAGAAGAAGACACATTCCACATAGTGGCAAGGGATTGGCGCATCAAAAAGGCTGGGAGACAGATGCCGGAGCTCCGGTGGGGTTGGAGACGACGGCTTGATGCTTTCTTTACTCACTATTTCAAACTCCATCTATCTTTTTGGTTTTCCTCTCCAAACTTTGGAAACCGGCAGATTTTAATTCTGTATAATAGTAGAGTTTGCTCAGATTTCTTTTGATCTCAACCTATATAAATACCAACGTTTATATACATGTGGATAAAACTTAGTTGGCTACATATTATACCTACTACGATTAAAAAATGAATATAACATATATAGACCAAAGCATAAAAGAAATAGGGAAAATATAATAAATAGCTTTCAATTTTTTGCCTATATTAACAACTTTCTAAATAGAACCCTTAGATTCTAATACAGAACGAGAGAATAATTTTGACCACTTAGAATAGTACTCCTCAATATTATTAAAGTGATCAAGCAGTGGTTTATATACCTACTGCAAATACAAATGAACAACAAAAATAACCTCCAATATAACAACCCATCACAGTTAAAACAAATCCCCTCACAGTAATTCAATGTGCTCTCTTAGCACCCCTCCTCAAGCCAATGGTGGTAGAATCTACCACATTAAGTTTGGACCTAAGAGGAAGAAAATGTACAGCAGACAAGGGTTTGGTAAAAATATCAGCAACCTGAGCCGAAGTCGGAAGATGACAAATACGAAGTCGTTTCTGCAAAACCAAATCACGAACAAAATATATATCCAATTCCACATGCTTCGAACGAGAATGGAGCACTGGATTGGCACTAAGATGGACTACCCCAAGGTTGTCACACCAGACAACAGGAAGAGAAGACATGGGCAATAACAAATCAGCAAACAAAGACTGTATCCATACCAACTCTGCAGAAACATGGGCGAGACTTCGATATTCTGCCTCGGTATTGGAATGAGAGATAATAGATTGCTTTTTAGAAGACCAAGCAATCAAATTTCCACCAAAATGTATACACACACCAGAAGTGGACTTACAATCATCCGGATCCGAAGCCGAGTCAGCATCAGCAAACCCTTGAAGCAGAAGATCTAGACTTTTAATTTGAAATAGAAGACCATGATCAAGAGAGCCATTCAAATAACGCAAGATGCATTTAACAGCCTACCAATGAAACAGCGTAGGAGCGTGCATAACTTGGCACACTTTGTTGACAATGTAAGCAATTTCAGGTCGAGTCAGCGTAGCATACTGTAAGGCACCGACAGTACTACGATAAAGATGAACATCATGAAATAAATCTCCTCGAAAAGCCAACGGGACCAAGCCACTTACCATCGGAGTTGAAATAGATTTGGCTTCATGCATTTTTGTCTTGAGAAGAAGATCAGATACATACTTTGACTTTGACTGGGATAGGAAAATGCCATCGGTTGAAGGATAAGAAGCCTCTATTCCCAAAAAATAGCTCAACTGACCAAGATCTTTATGAGCAAATTACTTATTCAAAATAGCAACAAAGATGATCAACCTCTATCAGAGAACTACCAGTGATGACCATATCATCCACATATACCAAAATATAACAGTGAGTACCACCTTGATGACGAACCAACAGAGAGGAATCAGCACAAGAATTTACGAAACCTAGAATATGAAGAAACTTACTCAAATAAATAACAAAAATAACCTCCAATATAACAACCCATCACAGTTAAAACAAATCTCCTCACAGTAATTTAATGTGCTCTCTTAATATATATATATTGGGAAAATGATTAAGTGTGAACTTATGTTCATGTTCTTGTATTAAGAGTGAAAAATTAAAAATAGATAATTCTTTTATCGATAGTTGTACTCATCTATCAGCATCTAAATATTATCTTATATATAGACTCGAATAATACTTCAATTTTTCTACATCAATCAAAACATAATGTGTAACGTATGTTCAAAAATGGAAATATTGGACTAAAATGTGGATCAAAATAATATTGGAATCTAAAAAAGTAATAATTTTTAAATATTCCTCCATCCACATGATTCATGCCAATCCTCTCTCCCAAAACATTATTGTCTTTTATTAAATAAACGCTATTGAAGGTGGGAGAAGAGATCAAACTTATTTAATTATTGAGCAAAATGGACGTTTATCTCATTCTTGTTGTTCACTGAAACCCTCCAATCTGCACTATTGTCTCCCCCTCACTATCTCACACCATTCTCTCCATTATTTTCCCTTTGGTGGGTTTTCGATTTCGCGAGGGTATAAATAGTTATAAGTAATAAAGTGATAGAGTAAAGTATCATCTCCACATAAAATGTTAATCAATCGATATTTACCAACTAAATTTAACGTTAGTCGATTTGATCGATCGACAAATAAATATGTGATTAAACTAAAATAGAAGTATTTCTCTCTTGAATTTCTTTATTCTAAATAACTTTTTGTTTGTTTCCCATGTTGATGGTGAATTCCCTTTTATTTATTACTGATCTTTCTCAAACATTATTAAATAATTTGACAAGCAAATTTCTACATCCTTGTGAAATTTCGAACCTATAAAAAAGCATTAAGCATGGTAGATTTATAAATGCTACACAAGAAAATTCGTAAACACTAACTCATGACTAAACATTTAAGGTTCGACTCAACTCGTCTCTCGATCTCAAATTAAATCTAAAATCATGTAATTGGTGATCAAACATCTACAAGCATATAAGCTCGGAGTATTAACTCAATAATGGAAATAACTTCATTAATCAGAAATACAAAGTCCAAGAGTTCATAGTCTCGACTGCATCAAGTCATAGAAATGAAATCTAACACAAAATTAACTTAGAAGGTAAGTAGCACAAATCAAAGCATAAATAAAATGAAAAGAAACAGCACAAGAGCAGGATTCTGCCCAAAAAAGATATCATGCAGCCTCCACAAATCTCCATCTTCTCCACTCAAAAACTGACCTAATTAAAATATGAATTTATAGGTCTGACAATCGTCATAGGGCCCAGGCGCCAAATCCCCGATTTTTGAAATCACTGCTTCAAGTTCGGAATGACTAGGTGCCGGTTTTGGGCGCCTGGCCAATATAATTACTTTTTTCATGTTGCATTATTTTTGCTCGAAAAACCTCTAATACTGTTTTCAAATACTAATAGAAATCATACGTGGTGTGGTTTGTCCATGTGTACAAATTAAGTGTCCAACTATGTCCGAGTTGGTTTAGAATTTAAAAAAATAATAATTAAGAAAAACTGCCTCCTCACGGTTCTTTCTTCCCGTAAGCTCCAAGAAGCTCAAGCAACTTGTCTGGCAGCAAATCGATACACAAAATTTGAATGTCGTCTTCCTCTACTATACTTTCAATCGTCCCCATGAATCTTGGACCCGCTTCGCCATATCCATCGGCTTGTACAGCGGGTTTGCGATGCTGCTAATCAAGCCGCTGTACAACATGCCGAAGATGAATTCCAAGTTGTTCTAGAGCAGAATCATGATGACGTCCCATTCTCTAGTGCTGGTGGGGAGGCATTTCTTCGTTATATAATTAGTCTTTTTTTTTAATCCAAAAATCGGTCCAAATTTGAACCAATTCAAAATTGAACCAATCTGCACAGGTAGACAATTAGCTGCATTGTTTTTTGTTAAATTTAACCTAATTTTTAACGATAGAGATTAAATTATAACCAAATTTAGTTACTTTTAAAATTTCAGAGACTACATCATCTTACTTTTAACGAAATTTTAGAAAACAATGATTTCTTTCAGCCCATCATTTTTTATATTTCTTACCTTTTTGTATTTAAATAGAAATATCATTTTATTGGATACATTTTTTACCGCAGTTATTTTCTATTAATCTTTTATCAATAAAATATATAATTTTTAATTTAAATTATATAAAATTTTAACAATTATCTGAAAATATGTGTCACTTATTTTTCAATTTCTCTTTCTTTCAATCACACCACATACATAAACAGAATTAATTAATTTGGTAATTAAATTAAGCACCCTGGCACTGGCTCGTGAATGTGGGTGGTTGGATTGTGGCTAGGTTTTTATCCATGCTGCACCCAATCAAACAAATATTCGACAGTTTCATTCAACCCTCAGGCCCTCACCCTCTAAACATCATAACAATTATCAAACATGACTTTAGTAAATCGATCTCGACATTTTATTCCTTCCATCTGTCGTATCGCTTCGACTCGAAGAGCTAGCTCTTGAGACAACCAAAGGAGAGAAGCTCCTCATTCCTCTCAAACGCTGCCATTACATCCTTGTCCAAGCACACCACAGCCTCCATTCCCTCCCCATCTTTGGCATCCATCAACCCAATTGAATTCTTCCTTACAATATCAGGAATTGTGATCCACGCTGGCTTCCCCCACCCAAAATCCACCTCATAAAGCCCAACTTTGAACCAACTGCTACACGTATAAAAATTTTGAGCCACTCTCCCAAATGATTCCGCCAGAACTCTTCGAAGTTCCTCTTCATGTCCCTCACCACCTCCCACAGCTCTACCTCTTCCTGCAATGACACCATGAAGAAGGTGATTATGTTCCCTTTTAAAGCCTCCGACAGCGGCGGCACCACCCTCTTTCGCAAGTTAACCATCTGCAGTAGGCTTGATGGCGGGGGCGGCCGCTTTCCCGAACCACCGGTGGAATTTATGATGGCCTTGTAGATGAGTGCACTGAGGAGCTGTACGCGCGAAGGATTCTCAACTTTGTCCGACACCATCGCTTTAAGAGCTGCGATCTTTGAACCCTCAAACACGAATCTTTTCACCGCAATGTTGTCACCTTGTTGCTCTCGTACTGTTTTTAAGAATATGAATAAAAGACTAAATATAGCGATTTTGTGCTCGGACATGGAACAATTGAACATATGATCAAAGAAAAAACTACATAAAAAACCTTAGGCGCTTGTTTGCCTTCAAATTTATTTTGAATCTCTTCCTTAAAATCAAGGAAGATAAATAGATCACTAAAATATTTGCAAGTTCAATAAAAATTTAGGTTCAATATTATATTTTTTCACGATTATATTCTTTGAACAAAATTTATCCAAAGGTAAAGCTTACAACACTTTTTCAATTTCAAGGGGAAAAAAATTGCAACAAAACAGTATTATATAAGTCTAAGATCCAAATTTAATGAAATTGAAAACTTTAGGTTGATACAG